CTATTTCACAGAGACTGTGAGGCAGAGTTCTCCTCCCCTCTCCAAGCTCAGAAACCAGTATGGTACTGGAATTTCATTTCTGCAGACAGGTATACTGTGATGCAAATAGGTCATGATAAAGCATGTAAAGGCAGACTAGGATTAGGTCTTAGATTTCAAGTACTGCATTCTTAACAGATTCCAACCCAGCACAGAGAGAGAGAGAGAGAGAGAGAGAGAGAGAGAGAGAGAGAGAGAGAGAGAGAGAGAGAGAGAGAGAGAGAGAGACAGAGAGACAGACAGACAGACAGACAGACAGACAAAGAGAAAGAGAAAGAAAGAAAGAGAGAGATATAGGAGAGAGGAGAGATTCAACATATATAACTCCATTGAACTAGTGGAGATTAGAACCCGTATCTGTAATATACGAATCCATAATTCCACCCACCAATCATGTTTTCCCCCACATGTTGCAGAGATTAGTAAAAGATTATCTGTTTAATGCGTGAATAAATTATTGAATTTTATGCAGCTCAAGAATGCTTATGATTAAAGTTCAAACAGTCAACATCACCGCTCTCAAAGTCCGTAAATGTTTAATTTACTCTTTCAGTATCAGGAAGCCACAACTGCTACACAGCTTGAGAAGATGCTTATAAAAACTAAATTGCTGGATTGTTGATTTTCTTTAGTATCATGTGACTGAATATGTACTGTACAGTCAGATGTGACTTTATGACTGGTAAACATGGAGAATAGCTGGTTGTCACTGCCATGATTGGGAGCCGCCGTGGTGTAGTGGCTAGACACTTGCCTGCAGATCCAAAGATTATGAATTCAGGTCCCGGTGGAGCCAGACTTTTTAAAAAGATGACCTTGGCTCCCAGGTCAACACAGCCTTAAATGGGTACCAGGTACAGCGTTGGGAAGTGAAGGTCTATAAAATATAGGTCTAGCCCTATATGCCCAACACTCCTGAGGGCATTGAAACGTGTCTTTTTTAAGTTCTTTTTGTTTGGATACTGAAAAAGAAGAAGAAAGGTACATATTGGAATATCCCATGCCGTGATGTCAATTTACTCATTCATTCATTCCTTTATAAAAGCAGCCAATTACACTGGTGTGTTTCATAAGATAGAAAAAGTTAAACTTTAAAAAAAAAAAAAATGATTTATGTTTTCACAAAATGACTGATATGTTGAAATATCACATAGAAAACACACCATCAAAATAATTTTATGAACTAATACTTAGTAATTTTTTTTCCTTGGTGTTCACAGCCTGTAAACTCCAGTGGAAAGTTCTGGTTGTTCATCCTCTTCTGGTCTTTAGTTTTATTCCAGAACTTGCATTTTACACATCTGGCTTAACTGTATGTAGACTTTATCTCTCACATCTAAGGCTGATTAATGCACTATGACTTCAAAGGAACAACCCTATTGACATGCTTGTTAGGAAAGTAGTGGGTCTACGTTTTAGGAAAGTAGTGGGTCTACGTTTTGGGAAAGTATTGGTACTACATTTTAGGAAAGTAGTGTGTCTATGTTTTATGAAAGTAGTGTGCCTACATTTTAGGAAAGTAGTGCGTCTAAATTTTAGGAAAGTAGTGGGTCTATGTGTTAGGAAAGTTGTGGGTCTACGTTTTAGGAAAGTAGTGGGTCTACTCTTTTGTCCTCTACAACAGGACCCTTGAAGACACACCCTAAAAACTTAGTAACTTATTATCAGGGCAGCTTTTGAAATGCAAATAAAATTGTGTAGGTTGAATATCTTACTGTGAATCTTCAAGAAAACTTGAGTTTCAACTCTGAAGTAGGATGGGATATAGATTTCCAGCCATACTTTTAGACTGGAACACACAAAGTGATGAGATTGGTGACAGGTATGTCATCTTGACTTTTCACTTTAAGAAAAAAAGGAGACTAGATTAAAGATGATGATATAACTGCACAATGTTGCTTTTTACTGAATTATATCTTAATTCAATCTCAAACTCAGTTTTATGAAACATGACACTGTACATTATTGTTTAGACTGGAACACACCAAGTGATGAGATTGGGGTCAGGTATGTCATCTTGACTTTTCACTTTTAGAAAAAATAAGGCTAGATTAAAGATGATATAACTGCACAATGTTGCTTTTTACTGAATTATATCTTAATTCAATCTCAAACTCAGTTTTATGAAACTTGACACTGTACATTATTGTTTAGACTGGAACACACAAAGTGATGAGATTGGGGTCAGGTATATCATCTTGACTTTTCACTTTAAGAAAAAAAGGAGACTAGATTAAAGATGATGATATAACTGCACAATGTTGCTTTTTACTGTATTATATCTTAATTCAATCTCAAACTCAGTTTTATGAAACATGACACTGTACATTATTGTTTAGACTGGAACACACCAAGTGATGAGATTGGGGTCAGGTATGTCATCTTGACTTTTCACTTTTAGAAAAAATAAGGCTAGATTAAAGATGATATAACTGCACAATGTTGCTTTTTACTGAATTATATCTTAATTCAATCTCAAACTTAGTTTTATGAAACTTGACACTGTACATTATTGTTTAGACTGGAACACACAAAGTGATGAGATTGGGGTCAGGTATGTCATCTTGACTTTTCACTTTTAGAAAAAATAAGGCTAGATTAAAGATGATGATATAACTGCACAATGTTGCTTTTTACTGAATTATATCTTAATTCAATCTCAAACTCAGCTTTATGAAACATGACACTGTACATTATTGTTTAGACTGGAACACACAAAGTGATGAGATTGGGGTCAGGTATGTCATCTTGACTTTTCACTTTTAGAAAAAATAAGGCTAGATTAAAGATGAGGATATAACTGCACAATGTTGCTTTTTACTGAATTATATTTTAATTCAATCTCAAACTCAGTTTTTTGAAACATGACACTGTACATTATTGTTTAGACTGGAACACACAAAGTGATGAGATTGGGGTCAGGTATGTCATCTTGACTTTTCACTTTTAGAAAAAATAAGGCTAGATTAAAGATGATATAACTGCACAATGTTGCTTTTTACTGAATTATATTTTAATTCAATCTCGAACTCAGTTTTATGAAACTTGACACTGTACATTATTGTTTAGACTGGAACACACAAAGTGATGAGATTGGGGTCAGGTATGTCATCTTGACTTTTCACTTTTAGAAAAAATAAGGCTAGATTAAAGATGATATAACTGCACAATGTTGCTTTTTACTGAATTATATCTTAATTCAATCTCAAACTCAGTTTTATGAAACATGACACTGTACATTATTGTTTAGACTGGAACACACAAAGTGATGAGATTGGGGTCAGGTATGTCATCTTGACTTTTCACTTTTAGAAAAAATAAGGCTAGATTAAAGATGATATAACTGCACAATGTTGCTTTTTACTGAATTATATCTTAATTCAATCTCGAACTCAGTTTTATGAAACTTGACACTGTACATTATTGTTTAGACTGGAACACACAAAGTGATGAGATTGGGGTCAGGTATGTCATCTTGACTTTTCACTTTAAGAAAAAATAAGGCTAGATTAAAGATGATATAACTGCACAATGTTGCTTTTTACTGAATTATATCTTAATTCAATCTCGAACTCAGTTTTATGAAACTTGACACTGTACATTATTGTTTAGACTGGAACACACAAAGTGATGAGATTGGGGTCAGGTATGTCATCTTGACTTTTCACTTTTAGAAGAAAAGGAGACTAGATTAAAGATGATATAACTGCACAATGTTGCTTTTTACTGAATTATATCTTAATTCAATCTCAAACTCAGTTTTATGAAACTTGACACTGTACATTATTGTTTAGACTGGAACACACAAAGTGATGAGATTGGGGTCAGGTATGTCATCTTGACTTTTCACTTTTAGAAGAAATAAGGCTAGATTAAAGATGATGATATAACTGCACAATGTTGCTTTTTACTGAATTATATCTTAATTCAATCTCAAACTCAGCTTTATGAAACATGACACTGTACATTATTGTTTAGACTGGAACACACAAAGTGATGAGATTGGGGTCAGGTATGTCATCTTGACTTTTCACTTTTAGAAAAAATAAGGCTAGATTAAAGATGAGGATATAACTGCACAATGTTGCTTTTTACTGAATTATATCTTAATTCAATCTCAAACTCAGTTTTTTGAAACATGACACTGTACATTATTGTTTAGACTGGAACACACAAAGTGATGAGATTGGGGTCAGGTATGTCATCTTGACTTTTCACTTTTAGAAAAAATAAGGCTAGATTAAAGATGATATAACTGCACAATGTTGCTTTTTACTGAATTATATCTTAATTCAATCTCGAACTCAGTTTTATGAAACTTGACACTGTACATTATTGTTTAGACTGGAACACACAAAGTGATGAGATTGGGGTCAGGTATGTCATCTTGACTTTTCACTTTTAGAAAAAATAAGGCTAGATTAAAGATGATATAACTGCACAATGTTGCTTTTTACTGAATTATATCTTAATTCAATCTCAAACTCAGTTTTATGAAACATGACACTGTACATTATTGTTTAGACTGGAACACACCAAGTGATGAGATTGGGGGTCAGGTATGTCATCTTGACTTTTCACTTTTAGAAGAAAAGGAGACTAGATTAAAGATGATATAACTGCACAATGTTGCTTTTTACTGAATTATATCTTAATTCAATCTCAAACTCAGTTTTATGAAACTTGACACTGTACATTATTGTCAGGTTGGTTTAATGGAATATTACTTTATGAGACAATTAATATATTAATTATCCTAATATAACAAAAGTTTCAAGGTAAAATGAGATTCAAAGTCCTTCTAATATCATTTGTAAACTAGAGTACAACAAATGAACAGGAATAAAAACAAAAGCCATAAAATAATTGACTTCAAAAAGGAACAAATTAACTGGCATACTGAGACAATGTGAAGCATAAATCATACATGAAGAATCTGAGCATCTCCTTTTTCATGCAGTTCAATTATGCTTAGCTTTGTAAGCTTTGATCCTGTCATTATTTCCAATTCTTTCAGCCAGAGCTTTAACTAATGGAGATTGTTCAACTGCTGTTGCTGTATAAGGACCTAGAAACCCTGTAACCAAATCATAAATAACTATATCCCCATATGTGTCACTGTCTCCTAAAAGACGTTGACCTTTGTTTTCATTCAGCATCTTCTCAATAAAGCCGAGATACTTTGGTGCCGCTTCCTCTTTCACTTTCTTCTCAAGTTCAGCTTTCTTTGCTTCATCAGGTTCACGGTAAACTTTACCCACTTCCTGAACAAAATCTTCAATAAGCTGCACAAGCTGGTCAATCCTCAGGCGATCCAGATTTGTTTTGCCATACAGGCCAAATTCGCTGGCAAAAAAATTAGCAATAGCCACAGTTTGGCCAAATACCTTGCCATCAATTTCAACAACTGGTACCTGGCCAAATGGTGTTGTTGGTTTAATTTCTGGCCACTTATCTCGGCTGATACGATTGTCTTCAAACTCTTTACCTGCATAAGTTAAAAGCAGACGGAGAATCTCTGCTCGACCAGCAGCATCAAAGTAGGTCAGCTTCGTTTTTCTGTTGGCCATGTTTCTGCAGAAAAGACAAAAAGATGTTCTAAGATACATTTTTTTAAGAATATAACTACACAATAGATATCTGGGAAAAGAAATGTCGATATTTTTTTTTAAAGCAACATAATAAAACTTGAGGGAAACAACTCAAAGGAGTATAGAAAAGTATGTTTGGATGGAAACAAAACATATGGAGATATAAATTTATCATGTAAAGTAGAATATATAAATATTTATCTTCTGTATTTGTACAATTGGTGCATGTGAAAATAGATGAAGTTAAATTGTATGATCAAATAAATAGCAAAACGATGTAGATGTTTTGGAGAGAGCTAAACAAATGCCAGTAAATAAAGAGGTGAGAAAGAGATGCAAGTATTGAATAGGACGCACATTAATAAAATGTGATAACAATATACTGTAACTAGAATGTCAGTGCACTGAAACTCACAGGGCTGAAGGAATGAGGTAGACCAAAACACACACACAGAAGAGAATTATGAAATGAAATGACACATAAACATATCACATTAGGTGAGATTCAAATGATAGCAATAGATTAAGACGACTTTGCATGGGCTTGTTGAGAGCCTTTGCTTCATAGGAAATCTTCTTCTTCTTCTTCTTTGCGATAAGTTTCTATGCTCAGATCAGACCATCAGGTGGCTGCCTCTGTGAACTCGCATGTCAGCTGCAGGTCCTTCATGGTTCTTCATAGCTTGCCCTGCACACTTTGTTCTTGGAGCCAGGTTTCTTTTTGAATTTGTAGGTAGAGTGGGCAGGTCTGCAGAATGTGCTGAGGTATTTGCGGTCCTGTCTGACAGGCACACTGTGGGGACTACAGTCTTTATTTTATGCATGTGGTAGTTGAGCCTGCAGTGTCCTGTTCTAAGACAGAAAATTGTTGTATGTTGCTTTCTGTTGAGTCTGCTGATGGGGTTTTGTGTATTGTATTGTTGGTTTATTCTCTCCATAATTTCTTGTATTTTCTCTTGATGCATGTTTTGATTTCTAGTAATGATAATGGATGGGTGTGTTGTTTCTTCATTGTTCCATTTTTTCTAGTCTGTTCGCTGACTCATTTCTTGGTTACGCTGAAATCAACTAGAGAATGATGTTATTGTTTTCTGAGAGTCTAGCTGGCAAGTCAGTTCTCTCTCCGTGTTGTCTCTTGGATCCCTTTGAGTCACCTAGAGGACTGACATGCATCACACAGGAAAACAATTTTGCTGTTTTTAATTTTGTTTTCCTCAAGCACTCAGTTGCATCTAATTCTTATTCAACGTTTATACATTGATGATCACTGAGCAGCAGTTGAACGGAAAGGGAAGGACTTTGTCATTTGCTGATGACATTTTGATTTATCGACGAGGGCGTGATAGACAGGAGATCGCCAGCACTATGCACAAAGAACTCGATCGAATTGCCGCCTGGTGTGACGGTTCCAATGCCTATGTCAATCCTTCGAAGGCATCAGTGTCATGGTTCTCTTTGAACAATCACATTGTCAAGTCGGACTTACCAGAAGTGAAAATGCGTGATAATGTATTGATCAGAACCAACGTTATAACGTTTCTCGGGGTGAGGTTCGATCGCAGCTTGTCATTCAGGGAACACGTTGACCATGTGATAACAAAAGCACACAAAGGTCTATCTGCAATGAGGATTATGGCTGCTTCCAATATCGAGCAAAGACTACTAATACTTCTATTCTACGGTCTGGTCCTTTCCCCCCATTGAATACGCTCTGGCCATCCTCACTGTCAGTGCTACCCAGATTGAACGACTCGAAAAGGTGCAAAATGAAGCCGCCAATCGCATTATTTTAGGATGTACTAGAGACACATCCTGTGGAGCAATGAGGTATCTACTTGACTTTCCAACAATGAACCAAAGGATCAGGATGTGGAGGGCTCGGGCATATCTCAAAATATGTGCTGATAAGAAACACCCACTGCATCAAGCGCATTTTAGTGAAAAGGGCGACAGACTGAAGAGGGGGAAATCGTGGCTAGGTCGGGCAGAAGATGTTATTAGGCAAATATGCAGCCTAACCGACATCATACCTGGTGCAGAATGGATACCTGTGCGTTTATTTGTACATTTTCCTGTATTGTCACACTCAACAAGCGATGTAGAGAAGAGAATCCTGTTGCTGTTAATGCAGAGGTGAAAATTCAGACAAGGCAGATGCAATAATCTATACAGACGGATCCGTTATACGCCAAAGAAGAAGCGCATGGGCATTTACAGCACGCTCAGCGGGCAGAACAGTCAAAAAAGCCAACGGCGCCTTCTCCATGACAACCAGCAGCATGACGATGGAGGTGATGGCAGTGACACAAGCGCTTGCCTGGCTTGAAACACAAAAATACACCCTTGTATGTATACTCAGTGATTCAATGAGTATGATCCGGAGGGTTCAGGCAGGTTCAGTGCGAAGACAATGGCTTGAATCATTACAGAAGTCCACTGTGCGTGGAGTCACCTTTATGTTTTTTCCGGGACATGCAGGCGTCGATGGAAATGAAAGGTCTGACAGGTTGGCTGGATCCGCTATCACTACCGACGGTCAGCCTATGGATCATGCTGATATTATCAATGCCCTCAGAGAAATGGGAAGGATAGAGGACTTTGGTGGCAGTGAATCCACATCACTCGCCAGAATGGCAGACTTGGGAATTAAGATTGGCACAGCAAAAAACGAGACGCACAGCAGACTCGCAAGAAGACTTGTTAATCAACATAGAACTGGTACTATTAGCCATTGGAGGTTGGGGTTCATACTGAGGGAAGGATCTGACATGTCCGGAGTGCAATGATGATAACCCAACTAACTAACTAACTAATTCAGTTGCATCAATAAATGCTTGCTGCTCTGCCCTGAAGTTTGTTGAGAGTGTCCTAGAGGCACATTGTGTGTTTTTTGTGGTCCCATCTTACAGTATGATGACTGAATCACCTCCTCCATTTTTTGCTGCTCCCTTCAGGGATCCATCGGTGTAAATGTATGTCCATTCAGATTTTGGGTAAGAGTTGTAGACATGATCAAGTGTCTTTGCATGTAGTACTAGTTCACATTCTTCAGCTTTTCTCTCTATGCCTGGGATTGTTGTTGTGACTGTATAATTAAGCTGTAGGTATGTTGTATGCCTGGATCATATTTCAATGTTGAAGGATCTTTAGAAAGGATGTCACTGTTTTTCGGTGCATAACAATTTTAATTTGTATGGGGTTAGGTGAGGGTACTTGGAGTTGATCCCTTTACAGATTTTCTAAGGTCAGGGGAAAAGGGGGAGGAAAAGGGGGGGGGGGAGGGAAAGGGGGGGAACGGGTTACTAATGACTGCAAATGACTTAAAATATTTCCTGCACAGAAATATAACTACATTTTTAAACATATAAAGTGTTTCCCCTGCCTGGTTATAATCTCAATGATGAGAATCAAATAGTTATAAATCAGTGAAACCCTATTATATTATATATCCTTATATATCAATTATACTGGGGCACCAAAAGAATGGCTAGGAAGTCACCTGTAGTGCAGTTTTGAGTAGGTTCTGATAGCTGCATAATTAAAAGTGGGAGCAGTCGTTGCAACTACTAGATGAAAGGCCTCCTGGCCTGAATGTTCCGAGTTCGAATCAGTATGGAGACGGCTTGTTATTAAATGGCATTATCTCCGAGGATGACCCAGCCTAGAATGAGTACCCATGAATGTCCTGGGAAATAAAGGCGGCCTGTCTGATGTTGATCACATTACCTATTGAGTACTAACTAACGGGTCTATAAAGATATTGGGACAGCACCGCTAATCGAATCGCAGCATACATCCTTTTCGCTTTTAGCTTGAAAGGCGTCGTTACTTTATTCACATTTTAAAAAGGCAGCATCACTTGACATACATCTAGAAATCACAATAACTTACCGTCAAAAGCGTTCCGGTCCACACAAGTCAGTACACAAGTTTACACTGAGGCAACCAGAAGGCATGAGTAATGTACGTGCCGGAGTACTAGACGGTCGAGGATGTTGCTAAATTCCTGCTAGTGATCAAACGTTGTGTCCGCTTTGTGTAGAATCGGCTATATGCAATCTTGTTAGAGAATCACACCTGCGTGACACCGTGGTGGTACAGGCAAGCCGCATCTAGGTTAACATTATGAGAGCTCAATCCCCACCACCCTGCCCACCCCCTTGTAATTTGCTTAAAAATAAAAACGCCTAAAAAAATAAAAGTGGGGGGGGGGGGGGGGGGGGAATCACGCGCTCCTCGCAACATTCCATCTTTTTTTGTTGTTGTGGAAAAAAAAAGGGGGGGGGGGGGGATTTCGGTCTTTACGTGCTTGTCAATTAAGAGGGGGAGTTGGGGTTGAGCGCGACTTAACACCCAATAACTTTGAAGGGCACCAAGATGCATGCATATAAATTATCTTTAAAAACATTTGTTCATTATATTCACATTATTTTAAGTGCATTTTATATTATATTTATTTGCCATTTATCACAATAATATTATTATTCATATTATTATTATTATTGTGCTGAATGGCAAGTAATTATGATAATACTTTTGAAATAATTTGAAATCTATAAACAATTACTTTTAATTACTTGTAAAGAAAATTTATATTATTGGTTAAAAGAAGATTCTTAAAACATTGCTAGGAAGAGACTGTGTCTCCATTCCCCAAACAACAACAAAAACAACTACAATAATAACAACAACAACAGCAAGATAAAAAAAAAAAGGAGCACCATGCACCATATCCGAACTCCCAGGTTCTGGCACTAGTGTGAACCATTTCACACATTTCCCCCACGATCATCGCAGATAGTTTTTCCTGACCCTAAACCTGCTTTGTTATTTCGCTTATTTCTAGCCAGGAAATTCCCTGACTTAACATACGCGGTAACAAGAAGCTCTAGCTGTTTTACTTTTATTGCCAGCGTTAACGAAGACTCGACAGACAGTATCATTCTAAAAGGCTTGTTTTCCAGTTTGTTTTTTCTATT